GGTGGTGTGTGTGCTCTTTATTTGACATTTCTATTGCTCCGCTGCTCTGCAGTGACAGCCCGTCATGGCCTTTGCGTGGTAAATCCTGCTAACCAGGGTCCCCGCGACTTGGCAGGCTGAGGAAGAAGCTCTGCCTGCTTGGGGCGGGGTGGAGGAGACTGATGGTAAATGTGCAGACTCAACATCAGGGAACAGAGTCATTGCTGGGAACTGGCAGCGGCTACAGAGCTGACCTATCCTCGGACATACAAAAACAGCACAAGCTTCAAACGTACACGAGACCTGAGCCCTAGAAAAGTATAAACAGAAAACAAGGCAACTTGCTAACTGGATGATGTGACAGGCTTTAAGTCCAACAGTGCTTTATTGTAAAGCTTTTCCTTGGGGGATACTCCAAGTGAATTTCCTCATTAAGTACAGCCCGATTAAGTGGAATACGCTGTATCCGAGCCTGCCATCCCATGGTTTCAGTGGCTTACCGTCTCCTCTCCAGGCTCCTCGCTCCAGTCTGAGAATGGCCTTTGGGCCATCCACGTGACTTCCCTTGAAACAGACCGTACGGCTGCAAGCAGGTCGGTGTTGGGCCAGTCATAGCTCGGTGTGACATATGACCAGGAAAGAAACCCCATTTGATGTGGAACACAGTTTAACCGTGGTCTATTTTAGGAGCTTGGAAACATTTGTTCCACAGAAATACATCCATGTTCCAGTTACAATGAATCCTCAGCTAGACCGACGCTGGGACACTCGAACAGTCAGTAATAACAGTCTCGCTGGTTTTTATTTAATGTGATACTGCGGACTGTGAATTACTGTGGGTGCCTAGGTCTGTGGCTAACTGCAGTGCCTGCTCTATGTTACAGCTACTCTTTCTGTTTTCCCTGCAGCAGATCTACAGAACTGGGCTAATGAAGTGTGCAGCCAAATAAAAGGAACAAAGGTAAAGTCCCAGACGCTAGCATTTTCTTGCTTTTACGTTTTCCACATGACATTCCTCACACACACACCCCCCCAAGCAGACTCCACGTTAATGTTTGGCTAGAAAACAAGTTCTGAGTTCCTCCAAAAATGCTTGCAGCTTTGGCTTTTTTGGTCTGGTTTTCTGTAAATGTGAGGCCTATGAAATCACTGTTCTCAAATAGCTTCTGAACCTGCTCTCCGGTTTCAACTGGTTTTAACAGTGGTAAAAGTCTCTGTGGTGACTAAATATTTATGAGGAGAAAGTTAAACGTGAGCCCACCGGTGGCTGAACACCTGAGACTCTACCTAGGAGAGAGCCTTTCTACATCCTAAAAGCAGGAAAAGCTTTGGTTGAGTTTGCACTTTTTTACATACCAGAGTGCTCCAGGGGAGAAACCTGGGCTGGGTGCAGCACCAGGAATGCTAGGCACGCAAGGCATGAAGCACAGAGCCATCAGCTAAAGAAACTGGCTGTGAGATGCCGTAATTCTAGTGTTCTGCAGAAATCCTTCTTGATGTGAAAAAACGAAGACCTTACACAAGAGGTTTTGCTCTGGAAGAACACCAGATCCCATGCTTGAAACGCTCAGGTGGGGGCACAGGTTGAAGCTGATGCCTGCTTCACACCACGGGTGTGGGCCGAGGTGTCCCAGCAGCATGCTCTCCCCACCACCCCATCTAGGGGCTCCGTCTAGCTTAGCTGTTGAAAGACTCAAATTCCGTTGCTATGGAAGAAACCCCACACCAAACCAACCCACCTCTTTGAGCAGGCAGTTCTTCTTTTGTCTTTGGACTTCGTAAGCATTCCTGTAAGCTCCTGCACTGGCAGCTGTTCCGGGTCCTCCGGGACAGAGGAGTGAATCAACAGCAACGAGTGGCTGGCAGCATTTACACTCTCTCCTCGAAGATCTGAACAGATGTTAGAAATGAAAGGTATCAGTTCCCAAATACCCTTCTTTACAGCACAACGGGTATGAGCTGTAGGGAATCCTTGAAGTTATCTCCCAAACCCTTTGGAGCTGCAGCCGGAAGTAGAGCTTTACTTTGGCAAGTACCGGCAACACGGTATCGCGGGCCTTTGCGTTTGTTGTCCTAACGTTTTCCAGGTTAAAGCAACCTTGCCCGTGTGACACATTTTTTTTTCTAGTTTGTCTTGGGCCCTCTGAATCAACCCTGTTTCTTTCTTCAGTCATTACTGACGATAAAGACTCCCCTCCTGGTAAGGCCTTCACAGATCAAGAGCCCTTCAGGCCCATAGGTGGTTCAGGGGGTTTACAAACCTTATAAGCAGTTCTGTAGGTCGTACTGATGGTCCGTAAGGAACAGCAGAACCCAGCAACTCTTCCAGATTTATTAACTCTTCAGTGCCTTCTTAAGAACTGGGAATAGTTGTCTCCCAAAATTTAATGTTATTGTGCCCTAGGCCACCAGACTATTGTTTTTTCTGAACACCCCCTGAGTCCAGCATCACTGGTCACCGTCCCACACCGGAACAGAATTGCACTGACCATCAGGAAGAGCTGAGATCTGCCTGTTCCTTCTTGGTCTGGGAAATAACCTTCTGCTAATCCCTTTTTTAAGCACGTTTTATCTTTAATTTCTTTCAGGAGCCCCCCAGAGACGCATTTGTTACCGTGAACATCACGAATGTTGCTGTGCCCCAGACCCCCGAAGGCGTGTGTCTCCTGGGCCCCACTGGCTCTCCTGCCCCTGGAAGCTCGTGCTGCACCAGCGGTCACGCTCCTTGCGGGAAGGGGAGCCCCAGCACGGTGTCGTGTGAGGCGGGAGGGAGCCTCCCAGAGTTTTCTGGGGTAACCGAGAGCGATGATGGTCACTTCCCAACAGTTCCCACAGAAAATGAATACATGGATAAGGATCTCAATACCGCTGATTATTTATCTTTACTGAGCCGGACTGCCAGTAAAACCGTGTCGTCATTTTCGGAACCAATGGAGGCAGGGGAGAACGACAGCTTAAATCAGTACTTTACAGGGATTGGGAGCACAGAGGACATAGCGGTCTCTCAAGGCTTTCCCCCTTCCTCCAGCACAGACGGGGCACACACTGCCACGGACAAACTTCTTCAGAAATCTTGCCAACACGCCCACAGTTGCCCGAAGGAAACAGGCCACAAAGACACAGATCCTTTTGCAACAAGCCATGACTCGGAGAAGATCTGTGTGAGGTGTGGCATTTCGTACAGGGAATCTCCCAGAAAGCGGAGCAAACCCTGTTGCGCCACGGCTGACGGTGCCTCTTCCACCTTCCCAGAAACTGGATCCTATGCACAGTGCACCTGTGGCTTGAATTTTCTCTCTGCTGGTCAGAGCGCCCTAGCGAGTGATTGTGGTGCGGAGGATGCATCTTTGGATAGTACCAACGTGAAGTGCCAGAACACAAACAGAAGCACTTCAGGGACAAACAGAAGCACTTCAGGGACAAACAGAAGCACTTCAGGGACAAACAGAAGCACTTCAGGGACAAACAGAAGCACTTCAGGGACAAACAGAAGCACTTCAGGGACGAACAGCAGCACTTCAGACCTCCCTCCAGCATCCGGTAAGCCCATTAGGCTTGACCCGTACAGGGTCATATAGGATTATTCTCGGTGCTAGCTCGGTGTTATTCAGAGCGTCTGATTGAGGAGAAGGGGAAAAGAATAAAATGATGCCTTTCCACTTAGTTGCCCTGAAGCTGATCTGAAAAACAAAACCGAAATAGTAGGGCCATTTGGTTTGTAGTGAATTCTGTGCACAGCATGAGCCCCGCGAGGGACTGTTGTCCTGCCCTGATCTAACCAGCAATGCAGAACCCATCTTCTGGCTGTCGCTGCAGAGGCCGGGGAATTCTGTTACTGAAGTATTTTGGTGATAGCAGGCACGTGGATTGGAGAAGACTTAGAAGGAGGAGAGCGTAGGGAGCTGGAGGCCGAGTCAAGGAAGGACACGTAACGCTCAGACAGATGCTCTTCCACTCAGCCGTCTGCACGCACGTCTTTGCCATTAGGTTCAAGCCCAGTTGGGTTTCTGTGGCAGTCAGTGACACTCCAGCTGGAGCTGTAAACTGGTGGCCACCACAGGGTCTAAAAGGTTACGTTCAATTTTCTGCTTTTAGCTCATTTTCTTTGCTTTCATTTGCTAGGATAGAAACTTTCACCTAAAAATAATTTCGTACAGGCATTGTTTCTCCACACACGAGTGCTCTGTCCCCTAAACAGCTCTGAAACAGCGTCGCCAATTTACTAATTGACTACCAGTTTACTAATTGAGTAAATATATCAAAACTGTCAAATGAAAGCAGGGGGGGGAAAAAACCAAAGAGCTGAAACAAAGCTAGCAGAAGGGAAGTTATGAGCCTTTTCTGGATGAAACCTTCCTCCCTCAGACTTTTTTTTTTTCAGTATAAAAGTCTGCAATCTGCCTGTCATGTGTTATTAGTCATTTTAGATTATAATCTCTTAAAGTCAGATGCTCTGTCTTTGTTTAGGTCAACGCATTGCCAAGCGTCATGAGAGGTTCGTTCTGAGTGGGACAGCCAAGCGTTACTGTATTACACACAGCAGTCCCAAGCAGTTGCCCTTCTTTAGGACCGTGTCGTGCTTTTAAGTTTCTTACGGAGTCAGTCTGCCAAAGCCCAAAAGCAGCACTTTCGGAGGCCCTTCCCCTGTGCCGTCTGGGAATCTGAAAGTGCGTGGCGTTCATCTTTCTAGGAGCAGAAATTCTTTCTGCTGCTTCAGTTTCCTGAAATCCTGACGTGGTTTCACTGCCTGGTCCGTACAAAATTCAGCAGGAGTAAAGGGAAGGCAGATGATCTTTTTCTGCTGTCGTTGGAAAGTGACTCCGGGGTGCGACTGAAAGTCAAGTCATGTTTGGCACTGCAGAAGTACTGCTTTTCTTTCTAAATCTGACACGAAGAGGAAGAGAAAATATTAAGGAGCAATAGGGCAAACAGGAGGGCATTAAGCGACGTGCTAGAAAGTGCCATCTTGGATCTGCAGCGTGATTCTTTCTATGGGATTTCAATTGCATCTGTGCCTTCGGGTACGTACATGCTCTAGTGCCATCTGGTGAAACCTGAGCACAGATGCAGCATCCCTAATTTGCCATTTTTTTTAGGCAGGGCTGCCAACGGGTTCTGACTGAGCGTGGGAGTCTGGGTCAGTTAAACTGTAGGTAACGTGGCTTGCTGCTAGAGGGTTTTTCTGTCCGCAGACCGGCCGTGCCCCACTGGTGACGCCTGGTTGCGCGAGACGCGAGACGGGTCTCAGCCATAGCTTCCCCGCTGAAGCGTCCCGGCCGCGCCAGGGCTGCATGTGGAGCTGCAGAGGCATCAGTCATTTTGCTGGGCCCTGTGGAACGCCCAGATGGAATAAATGCGCGCGCAAAATAACTTGCTGTAACGCTTCTCACAGCGACTGAAGCCACCAGGCTTTAGGCACAGTCATGCTAAGACAGAAGAGTACGAAAGTGGGGGGATGAAAAAATAGGAAGAAGGCGGCCATGGGTAATTCCATGAAGTTTTGGTTTTAGTTCCCTAACAGTCAACATGACAACAGAAATTGCAAACTCTTGTCTCTCCTGTCAAACAACCCTAGAGGACAGAAGTAAACCTCCGCACAGGTGCCACTTACCCACCTCTGGGTCACCACCAGGATGGAAGTAAGCCTTCAAGCGCTCTTTCAAGCCCTTCCCAAGCCTGCAGGCAGCCAGAAGCGTCGGTTCGTGACCACCTCAAGTCACGTGTAGGGTACAGCATGAAGCATGAGTGCAGGAAAACTTAGGGGACTCACGGTTAGGAATGGTTTTGCGGAGCTTTTCACTTCCAGATCCCAAACCCAGCCTGGTTTGTCAGCAGCCGACAGTTCTTACCACCTAGAGAAAATGAATTGCCCTTGGAAAGGAAGCAGAGAGCCAGCAGTGCAGTGGTTTAGCTAAAATAAATAGGACTGCTTGAGGGGGGCTATTTGGGTGCTACCCAGAGTCGGTTAGGAGCATGCACAGGTCCTAACGCAGCACTGCTGGAGCCCACTGTTCATTGCTGATGTGCAAACATCACCCACAGCCACTAGAAAGGCGTTTTCTTAGGGCAGGGCCATGCTTAGCTGCAGCGAAAATGGGAACGCCTCAAGACTTGAGGAATGTAACGAGGAAAGGCAAAAAATGTCTAAAAGGCGTCAAATTAGTCTGCAAGTTACAATTAAGTGAAGCACAGCAGGAAAAATATTTCTTAGGAAGAGTGTTCATTGGCTAGGAAAATTTTTTTACTTAGTTGCTGCTATTTGTTTAATTTTCAAACTTTAACAAGTTTGTTAGATTATTGTTGAAAGCTTGCTCTCCGTTATTTTCTTTCTGCTCTGAGCGAATGTTATTAATTCCCAGAGCCTGGTCCTGCTGTCGCTTGAGTCAGCGACCCAGTCCTTGAATGGGAGGCAGATTGAATTTATACTGAAAAACCTCTTAACCTCAGGCAGAATGACTGAATCCGTAACTCCGTTAGGCTGCTATAATATAGACTCTTGTCTCTGCACCGGAGTCAGCATATATCCGGGTAAATCCATCCAGGCACTAGGTGACTACCGGAGTGTACCTACACACAGGATCAGGACAACGTAACTGTGTAAGCCCCGGGTCATTTGGACACTGTGTGGCTGTACGGTCTGACGTTAAGTCTTTCAGTATTTATCCAACACACCTGGTGCCTAGAGCACATGGTAGGTCTGATTGTTTACTACGGAGGAGAAGAAATGCAGTATGATGCTTGGGACTCAAAAAAAAAAAAAAAAACCACAAACACCAACAAAAAAACAATTTCATAATTAGAAATAATAGTCATTTCCTCACAAACCACGGGCGGAGGCAGTTTGGATGCGGTTCATGCATCAGGCGGCCCAGGGAGCACGAGATTGTCTCACTCTCTTTTGCTTCCCGGAGCATGACAGAGAGAAAACGTTCCAGACAGGCTCCCTGTGGATGACAGGCTTCGTCCTGAGGAGGCAAAAATGGAAATAATGAAAAGGTCTAGTGGAAGGCATTGATTATAAGAGCATCCCCGTGTCACGGGGGAAAGAATAATGGAACAAGAGTAAAGCCACTGCAGCAGATGAAGTTCGCGGTGCCAGATGTCCATCTCGTGAGGGGAAAATATTAATCCTATATGTCTTCTTTTCTACCTCCTCCTTCCCCAGGAAATGTGACTGGAAACAGTAACTCCACCTTTATCTCAAGTGGACAAGTAATGAATTTCAAGGGCGACATCATTGTTGTCTACCTTAGCCAAAACTCCCAGGAGGGGGGAACGGCCTCGGGGCTGAGTGAGGAGAACGTGGGCAGCCCCATCCAGGAGGAAAACCTCAGCCGCTGTGAGACTTTTGCCGGCAACACGCAGCACTACAAGGAGAAGTGTGCGGAGCTGCAGGCCGCCTGCCCGGCAGCAGGGAGCGGGGGGCCGCGGTGCACCACCGGAGCCC